TGAGCAACCTTTGGTGGAGTGCTGGACTTGTCAAGGGGAGATTGCACTCCAACACTCAGATGGGACCAGGACAAAAACCAAATTGGTTTAATTTAAGTAAAATTAAAAATATATTAAATTAAACATCAGTGATTTATCCCTGCCATCACATTAAACCTATAATCTGGTGGCAATTTTGGGTGAAATTCTGGGATCCACAGCAACAGCTTTGGGGCCACAGGTTGAGCTTCTGTTGCTCTAGAGCAGTGTTTCTCAACCCATGCTGTCTGGGGAATTCTGGGAGTTGAAGTTCACACATCTTAAAGTTGAGAAGATTGAGAAACACTCCCCTAGAGCAACCTCAGCCACAGCCAGTTTCTAAGCTTGGCTTTCTCCAGAGGGCTTTTCTTTGGTCATCCCAAATGAATGTGACCCTTTTTAATGCCCTGGCTGGCTGCAGGCCCCTTCATCCCAACTCTTGGGTCAATACACATACTTTTCTGCCAGGATGAGTAGATGGCATTCTCTTCCATTAGGGGTTGAGAGCTTGGAGTGTTTCCAACTGTGCTGGACTGGGCAGGTCTTCTCTGCATGCACCAGAGCAAAAAAAAGATGAAAGAAGTGAGTGGGATTTCAAGATAATTACCCTACAGAAGCAAAGTTGCAACACTTCAGTGGTCCCTCTGAATCATATCCTGACCACCACCACCTATCACCATATCCAACGACCCTAGCTGCAACTTATTTGTTACGTTTACATCCCACCTTCCTCCGAGAGTTCAAGGTCCTGCGTGTATTACTGCCTCCACCCACAAGTGAAACATGTTGCGCTGAGTGAAAGAGTCACTGAGATCAGTATGGATTTGAACCTGGTCTCCAGAGTTGTACTGCAACATCCTGACCACCGCTTTGCTACACCGGACCTCAACCCATACCATACTTGGTCTGCAACCAAAGCTACTGATCTAGCCATCTAATTCCAACACTTTCCCTGTTACTTATCTTTGTGTCTTTGATCTATTAAGGCTGCAGGCTACCATCCATTTAATTATATTAATTACACTGTTTGTATAGGAAAACCCTACTCAAATTTTATGATTCTGTTTGTAATGTAATAATCATGGAAATGTTCTGCTGTTAGATTATTACTTTATATAAAGTAAAAAAATAGGAATAAATACTGGTGGGCAAGAGTCTGAGTTAATAGAGTTGAGAAAGGGGAAAAAGATGATGAAACTATATATATATTACACCTGAATTCCTATATGTTCTTACTGGAGGAAATACACATTGAAATCACTGGGACCATCTTCTGAATAACAAACCAGAAGTTGGTTAGCTGCAAATGTTAGCAATCCCAGAATTTCCAGTGCTATACTGCTATGTGGTTCGTTAAGTTAATCTTTAAGAGTTTTGGCAGAGAATACATTCAGAATTAAATATATTCAGAACCAAATTAAAAAATTTTTAAGAAAAATAAAATAAGTAGACAAAGAACATCTGTTATCAGAGCAGTCTCATCCAGAAACTCTTTGTACAATGTTTCAAGAAGCTACTGAAATGAGAAGTGACCTGGAATCATAAAATGGAAAGTCATTTGTCCAACCTTCCATGAAGAATATAACAGCAATCTTGGGGGAGCAACTGATTGAGTGTGGCTTCTCCATTAGGGATTGAATGGCTAACCTGTGGGCATGAGAAATCTCCCTACAATTCAATTCAGTTCAAGTAGATGCATGGGATTGCTACTCGGTTAAGTACTGTGGTTATGAGATCAATACCTGAAAAGCTAGTTGGCAGATACATTCAATCCACTCATTTGGCTGATCTGCTGCCAACAACCAGTTGCGTTCCAGCATGCACAAGTAGAAAGGTGTTGTTTCCTTGGGGGAGCTCTGATCATCAGCTCGTTCCACAGAGACACAGTCCGACAGGCGAATCACTTTACGTTCCCCCTTCCGCAGGGTTGCTTTTTCCACTGCAACACCATCACGTGCTTCGAAGTACTCAAGCCGGGCAACACCAAAGGAACTGTCAGCAAAGAGCTGGACCCATACTTTCCGCCAGGTCTTCTGTGAGTGGAGGCAAAGGGATGGATGATGAAACAATCCAGGAATCAGCAATTTGCACACATGAGGAAGAAATAAGAAAGTAGGTCTTATGTAGCCTTGCAGAAACAGGAAGAATTATGATTTTCCTGCTACTGAGCTATCCCACAGACCTCTTGCCAGAAGTAGGAGCCAATTTATAGAATCACAAAAGGCAAACATTTGTTTTTAATTATTCCATGATCCCTCTGTGGCACTTAATAAATATAGGAAGTATCTGTATGATTGCCTCATTTAATATCAGACACAGGATTTAATATCTTTGCTCCCTGAAATCATATAAAAATGTAAATTTCTAATCCTCATGGAACTGAAAAAACTGCAGACTTGATAGTCATGGTTTCAGGGCCCTCAGCTATTATTTATTGGACTGGATTTCTTCTAGCTCATCTAAAGCCAGTCCCTGTCCCTTCCCTCTTGAAATTGCATTTCACCTTGCATTTCACAGTCTGAGCTCAGCGACTGAGCAAGTGAAATATAATAATTTCCATTTCACAAGTCAGATATGTAATTTGTTTGAAAAAGCCCAAAGGAAGGTGTGCACCATTTTTCCTAAGTGGCTTTGGCTTTGAAACACAAAATGGCCCAGACTCAGTATTCTGCCTTTCCAGGCACGATAGTTAAAATCTGTCTGAAATCTTGGAAAACTGCTGCCTATCAGTGTCAATAATTCTAGGCCAGTGTTTCTCAACCTTGGCAACTTTAAAATGAGTGGACTTCAACTCCCAGAATTCCCTAGCCGGCACTCCCAATTCTGGGAATTGAAGTCCACTCATCTTAAAGTTGCCAAGGTTGAGAAACACCATTTTAGGCCAATGGTCCTATGTTCTGAGTTATTTTCTCCCCCCCCCCCCCCCCC